TATTTCGTGCGCGTGCTTGTTGTATCTGATTCCTACTGAGCCATCATTCATCGTCATCTGACTTCACACTGACTTATTCTTGCAAACATAATTTTTTCGCCATTATTATTCATTTTCTCTGTTCTTTCTATATCAGTTGATAATGACTGCAGCTGTTCATCAGGACCAGAAGGAAAACAGAGATGCAAAATAGGTCAGTTAATATTGCACCTTCGAGTTAAGATAGCTTGAAGCAGCTTTCCGAGACACCTATACCGAATATATATTAAAAGCCCTACAAGAGCGACTTCCCCTTCACGAAGTCCAACGAAATTCGCGCACACGCACACACACACACACACCCAAACACAAAAGAGGTGAATGGGCTAAGAGACGCGTCCGACATTCTATTCACTAGTAACTTCGTGTTTTGACTTCTTCACCCTATGCAATAACCATGGCATCTATGCGACGATCTTCATATTTTACATTGTTAATAATTAATTACATTATGGCCTTAGATAGTTGATGAGAGCGCAGCCAGAACCACCAGCTACCTTGCAAAGAAAGGGGGGGGGTGGCAAGTTACAAGTTACCTGGATAGAACTGTGGTTCGTTCAAAAATTGGCAACAAGACGGGATTGAGTCTTATTCTATGTTGCTTACATCTATACGACGATCTTCATATTCTACTTTGTTAATAATTACATTATGACCTTAGATATTTGATAAGGATACGGCCCGAACCAGCTACCTTACGAAGAAAGCAGGGGCAGACTATGAGTCACCTAGATAGAACTGCGGGTCGTTCAAAACTTGGCAACAAGACGGGATGGGTTCTATTTTTCTTTCAATTGAACACTGTGCGGTATTCTTGAAGAACGCTAGAACATTTATACAAATAGTGCATACTTCTAAATAAGAAAATTCTATGAAGAAAGCGCAGTTGCTCAAACTAAAAATTTATTTCCTCTGTTGTAGAATACCTTATGGTGTTTCCGGAGCTGCGTTCTTCAAAACATTATGCCATGAAGAATCCAGCCATAACTTCAGATCTCAGCCAGTTGTCGTTGTGTTTTTTTATCAAACTTGTTCAAGACCAAGGGAATCAGAATGTCGTCAGCTATGCCAGTGAAGTTGACAATGACATGGTTGTCGTAATTTTGCCAACACAAACAACATTTCTTGTCGGCAACAAGCAGTTCCGGTAATTCTGCCTATATTTTTTAGAAGTCAGTTGAATAATTTCTTATTCGAACCACAATAAGTTATTATACAGAAAATGGTACGATCGACTTCTTCCTAACGCTAGGAGAGAGAAAGTTACAAGCAAACGGAAAGCGTTAAGCTTCTTTCTCTTTTCTTGTCATGACTTAAATACCAAATATGTTAATCTTTGACCAAACCAAATCCAGACGCATTTCCTTGCGCTCTCCAAATAACTATTCGGGTCCTTTTTTTTTTGTAAAGTGATTTAGATCACTATGCTCAATGGGGCTCAAGAGTCGTCTTTCAAGTGACGAGGACTCGCTTTTTCACGGTTCTACCCATAAAAGGATGGGGTTTCTTGACCGACTCGGCTTTCAAAATAGTAGCTCAGATGATACTTTGATTTAAACATCTTATAAGAGAGAAAGATCCTTTTCGTCTTGTCACGAGCGTGGGACAAAGAAAAAATTCTGAGTTCCCATGAGGAATCGAGCCTCAGACCTTCGGATTCCGCGCACTGAGCCACAGAGACTCTACTGTGAGTAAGGTCTCTATTTTATGAGTAATTGCATGAATAAGAGATTGACTGAATGAATGAAAACACTGAGCAAATCGAAGCTTGAATGTAGGAACGATTAAGTCATAGATAAACGATTGATTGATTGACTGACTGACAGGCCACTTACATATTACTATAAACTGACTGACTACAGATTCACAGACTGAATAACTCTCTTGACTGACTTGGCGACAATGAAAAAGGAGGGTCTTGAATGATCAAATATATTTAATATTGTTTGCTTTTTGTTTTGTCCTGTTTCTTTTTTTTGTTTTTTTTGCTCGTTTGTTTTGTTTATTGTTTTTTTTTGTTTGTTTTTCAGTTTTACCTCGACAAATCTCTACGATGATACCTGGCAACACCTGTGTCTCACCTGAGAAAACACTCGAGGGGTAACGAAACTCTATAAAGATGGTCAATTTACAGAACAGGTAACGAATGATGCCTCCAACAATTACGCACTTAAGGCTGGCGGCTTCCTGGTGCTTGGACAAGAGCAAGACTCTATTGGCGGACGCTTTGATCGTAGGCAAACTCTTCATGGCCGATTGGCAAGTGTCAACATTTGGGATAAAGTTCTGTCCGAAAGCGACATTGCCGCTCAGTACACAAATTGCAGCGTACCTTATGGTTCTGTTATTAACTGGTCTATATTCAAAAATGTTACTCATGGCAATGTTGCAGTTGAAGAGCCGTGAACTGCATTGGTCAGTGATCACAACTCTCGCACAGCCTAAAATCATAACTCGCGTGCTGTAAATTCCTAATATTAGTGAATGTACCATATGCATGGCATAGTACAAAAATAGATACCAAAGCTGTTACTATGCCAGTTATTTAGAAAATATTTCATTCCTTTATTTATTCACCTATTTACCTAGTTTTTTGATAAAAATGACCGGTGTTTGCCAAAAAGTTGACACAGCTCATGGCAATGTTGCAGTTGAAGAGCCGTGAACTACATTGGTCAGTAATCAACTCTTACAAAGCCTAAAATCATAACTCGTGTGATGTAAATTCCTAATATTAGTGAATGCACCATACGCACGGCATAGCACTAAAACAGATACCAAAATATGAAAGATATTTCGTTGAAACGTTCCTTTTGGCCAGTTATTTGGAAAACATGTCATTTATTTATTCACTTATTTACTCAGTTGTTTGATGAAATATATTAAAATAAGATGTAAGTTTATAGGTTGACTGGTGTTTGCCATAAAGTTAAGACAGTTACTTGTTTTATCGCAAGTAGACTTGACAACATAAAACTTTTCCTCTGTTCTAATTTATTCATAACACTTGAAAGGAAATTTAGGGGGCCTTTCAAGATCTTTCAAGATCCCAAGGAAATTTCAAACATTGAGAGGCTGACAGGACGAGCGCTAATACTTTGAATGTGAAGTCTTCTAGAATGATTATCACATATGCCCTGTCGCATGTCCCTAATAAGCCACCGTATTCTGCCGCTTTTTGTAACCTCTTAAAATACTTAGGGTGTTTCTGTACAGTTTTCTTGGAATCTATGTCACTTGCCATCGAAAAACATCGCATGTCCCACAAGGGCCACAGTAGAAGAAAGATATTGGTAGGTACTTTACAAATCTGATGTAAGTTTGCAGTAGTCTAGAAAATTCCAGAATAAAAGTTACAGAATCTGGAAATTCTGCTGTTGACATCGTAATTTTAGAACTGGGGTATGTGCTATAGACTATAGACTATAGACTATAGACTATAGAAGAAAACATCTACAAAGGAAGACAAACAGGAGCAAATTAGGAGGCCAAACCCCCGAAAAAGGAAAACAGAATAATAATTCATGGCAAGAAATGCCTCTAACAGAAGCAGATATCTGCAAAGCCCATGTAAAAGCTTAGTGTTTCATGTTTGTGTGATATGATGTGTGATTTGCGGAAGACAAACAGGAGCAAAACAGGGGGCCAAACGACTAAAAAAGGAAAACAAAATATTGATTGATGAAAAGATATCGTGTCTAGTTTATCGTGTTGTAAGTTTTCTATTGCCTATCGTATCTGATTCCTACTGAGCTACCATTCGTCGTCATTTCACACACTGACTTGTTTTTGCACACAGAAAATTTTCCATTTTAATTCACTTTCTATTTTCTTTTTACATCAGTTGATAATGACCGCAGCTGGAACAGGTAGGTATTTGACAGCTTTTATCTTTTCCTTTTGTTCTGAGCAAAATGCTGTCAACCCTAATTTGCATAAGTTTGTATATGTCACCGTTACCTTCTATCACGCCGCGAATATTCAACTTGTCGGCTGAAAATGCAAATGTATACCTGAGAACGTATATGCGTTTTTGACCATGATGACTGAATGTTGGCTTCGTTCTTTTTTTCCCTTTTTTTGGACCTTAACTTCCTCTCGGTCAATAATCCGGTCATCTTGATCGAACAAGCTTTGACAATAAAGGATTTATTATTTAGAGAACTATTTCGCTTTATTTTAAAAGAATTAAGAATTAAGAATGATTTTTTTTACCTCGAGGGTCATGTTTGTAGCACAATAAAACCACGAGAGTCGTTAATGTTTTCTATGTTTTGTCTGTCCCCTGCCGATCTTTGCGACTCCACCGCCGGGTAGCCGATTCGAACTTAGGATTCGATTCATATTCTCCACAGGACCTGCCAGCGATATAATGCATGATTTCATGTGTCGTACTTTGTTGTAGTCTTAGCTCCTTCGATACGCTTTTGAAATAGTAGCTCACTCAAAGATAGATACTACTTTGATAAAACAATAATAATAAAAAAGCCTTAATAAACAGACGCTCTATTATTTCCTGAAACTTTCCGTGACAGCAGAATTAAAACGAGCTGAACTGGAGCTCTACTGGTCCATTATTTTCTCCTGAATTAACAAATCAAAAACTAGAGCACCTAAAATAGCAGCAACTAGAAAGAAAAATTAAGAACCCAGGGACGCTTGAAAAATTTCCCGAGGAAGACAAACAGGAGCAATACAGGAGGTCAAAGGCCTGAAAAAAAATTTACAGAGAAAGAGAAGATTTTAGAAAACATTTACAGGGAAAGACAAACGGGAGCAAATTAGGAGGCCAAACCCCCCAAAAAGGAGAACAAAATAATAATTGATGCGAAGACAAATTGTCATTAACAGAAGCAGATGTTTGCAAAACCCATGCAAAAGTTTTATGTTGCGTGTCTGTGGCATTACGAAATTACGTGTATCAACATGAAAGTCATTTCTCTTTGAGCTACGAGAATAAGATGGCTTTTTTCTTTTTATCTGCCAATCTTCTTGCTCTGGTTGTATCGGCGAGTTCTGTGAAGACTTCAAAAGGTGTTGTCTTTCTTCCTTTTTGCTTTATTTTCCTGACATCTACATCGTCTTTTTGAGAAAGTCGAAACCATTTTAAATGGTAATTTTCATTTCTTTATCAAAACGCAGGACAAACGCCAAACGTTAGGTTTGTCTTCGCCAATTTCCTTGCTCACAAAGACTACTATTTGAACGTTACAACTGTTGGTACAGAACTGGTCCAAGACTCCCTTGAGTGCGTGTTCAAGTGTCTGGAGAAGGATCCATGTTTGTCCTTCAACCTGGCAGATTTGGATGATAACATTGACAATCTGCTATGTGAACTGCTTCCATCTGACCATTACATCCATTCAGACAAGTTCATCGCCAACCATCTTTGGTATCACTACAGTATTGTGGTAAAATTATTTTCCTTTTTCTACTTTATCTAATCATCACGTTTTTTGTTATTATCATTATTTCATCCTAATAATAACTAAAATCGGGTGCAATCGTTTGAGCAAACTTTATTCAAGTGTTCAAAGCTACTATATCTCTCGTCGGAGGCCATTTTTAAGTCGTTTTATTGATCCTTCATAGAAGTTTTTTTAACTGGTTTTTATCAAGGGAGTAAGTAATTGATTTTCTCGGTCTTAGTCTCCTTGTTCGAGGTTGCCCTGTCAGAACGATGGAACTTGTGTACCTCTGTACCAGACAAACAGCTTCAAGTGTCGCTGTACGAAAGCATACACAGGAAGCCACTGCGAAAACGGTAAAGGTTTTGGTTTCTAGAACAATATTTTCAAAAATATTTCGCGCGCATGCCTTTCGTATCTGATTCCTACTGAGCCATCATTCATCGTCATTTTACTTCACACTGACTTGTTTTGACAAACATTAATTTTTTGCTATTATTATTAATTTTCTCTGTTCCTCTATATCAGTTGATAATGACTGCAGCTGTTCATCAGGACCAGAAGGAAAACAGAGATGCAAAATAGGTCAGTTAATATTCCACCTTCAAGTTAAGGTAGCTTGAAACAGCTTTCCGAGACTATACCGAATATATATATTAAAAAAAAACCTAAAAAAGCGACTTTCCCTTTACGAAGCCAAAGGAAATTCACTCTTGTTCACAAAATGATTAAAGTCTGAAGTAATGGACGTTTCAAGGCAATCACAATTGATGTATCTATACATGAGGAAATCCCATTACATAGTTTTTTAGATCGATCTCGTAATACGAAGCCAATATCCAGCCATCTTGACCGAACAAGCTTTTTTAATAAAGGATTTATCTTGGAGAGAACGATTTCTCTTTATTTTGAAAGAATCAAGAATGAATTTTTGACTTCCAGAGCCGAGAAAGAAAGTCAGCTGTGTTTGTAGCACAATAAAGCCACGTCAGTCGTTTATGTTTTATTTGTTTTGTTTGTGGAGGTCCTCGGCCGATTTTTGCGACTTCACCGCCGGCATTGTTTAAAAATTGCTAACTCTGTTAGTCCGCTCGGGTAGCTAATGCGAACGACGGATTCGCTTCATATTGTATTTGAAGCGGCGCCAGACTTGATACTGTGCGTGCCGTAACGTATTTCCTAAATTCCTCTCTAAGCGTTGTGTATGAAACGCCTTTAGTAGCATGAAAATACTCCTTAAACTTAGATTTAACAATTCGTCTAACTAGGGGGGAGGATGACTTAGTAGATGAAGGAAGAATCTTGAGTAACCTCTCGGTAATAGAAACCGGACAAGTAGCCTTATGAGACCTTGCTAGGAGAGAGTATCCCCCTCTCTATACCGATCATTCTTGCGTTTCGGAATGAAAACTGACACGAAATCACTGCAAATAGAGACATCTTTAACAGACAAGGTACGAATTTCGCCCATACGGTAAAACTCAGCGAAGTTAACCAAGAGAATGAAAAGAAAACGAATAACAGCGAGAGAACTACTAGAAATATAATGATCAGCGATCCTACAAACTGTGTCGACGGATAAAGGATCTTTGGGCTGAACGGGACGTGCAAGTTTCGTTGTAGAGCCCTCTAAGGATGACTTAACAAGGGGGTGACTAGTAGGGCATTCTACTATCCCGGTCAGGCTATGAGCCCACTTAATGCCGAAAAGAACTGACTGTATAGAAGATATCCCCGTATTATGGCTAACTGAAATTACAGTAAGCTCGCTAATAAAGAGCGCAACATGTGGAGGCTTTGCTGGAATAACTTGAACGCCAATCTTAGGAGCTGCTTATTGACGCCACTTCAGCCAGCCAGATCTGTATTTCTGCACGGTGGAAGGAGCCCTGGACTCCAACTGTAAATGGAGAAGGTTTGGAACAAGCCTACGCAAAGATGGATCGACCGGACAATTTGCGTCACGCCAAATCCCCGATTGCAGAACGTCTACAAGAAATAAAATAAAACAAAATAAAAGTAAGCAAAAAACAAAAGGTATAATAACATAAAAAAGGAGATACATAATACAAACAGAAAATGAGATGCACAAAAACCATCAAAACGGCCCAAGAGATACTGCCAAATCAGGCAAAACACAATAAAATAAGCAAACGCGGAGTAAAAACAATTTGGCCCGGAACACGTACGGTCAAAACGACGATGCCAAATCAGGCAAAAGATGCAAACAAACGGAGGTCAGACTACTAAACAAAATGACACTGCCAAATCAGGCAAAACACAACGAGGGTAGACTAAAAGATCAGAAATGACAAGGTGAGGATTAGAGCTGAAAGAAAAGAGACGTGCATGGTAAACGAGGATGACAAAAGCTCACTTAAAATCTACCTGTAACGCTAACATTCTGAATCTCAGGCAATCGATGAAAACCGAGGGACGCGCCTTGTAAATTTGCCTCTGGCTGGGTCCTTCCAACAAGAGGTCTTCTATTCAATGAAGCTCAAACACTCCCTTAACAAAAGACTTGAACTGAGAAGAGCTGTCACGCAAAAAGGGCCAAAAATAGGCCGAAGGCCACTATGGGACGATCAAAGTGCCGAAACCAGAGCACGACGAGAGAGCTCTAGAAGGGACGATGGCACTCACAGGAGGGCAGACCCAATTGTTCTCGTCTCGCCAATCCTGGGCCAAGGCGTCAACGCCGCAGCAGCCGAGGGAGGCAAATTTAGAATTGAATCTAGGAACCTGGGCCTTGTAATGCGACGCAAATCGATCGATTGTATGAGGGCCCCATTTGGCGTAAATCACTCGAAATACAGAAGGGTTGACGGACCAGTCATCTTTGTCAACAAATCTGCCGAGAAGATCTGCCCTTTCATTAAGCGACCTTGGGATCCATTGCGCTTCCAGCTGTTAACAAAACAGAGATTAAAAATGTCCATAGCCAGAGCCTGGAGATTAATTTTGGAGCTCCCGATAGCAACAATTCTGGCGGCGCCCTGATTATCAGTAAGGATTTTAACTCTCTTGTGTTTCAATCGAACAACGTAGGAAAGCAACACGAAATAAATAGCTTTCAGTTCGCGGAACGTAGAACTTTGGCCGATATCCTCGGGTTCCCACATGCCGCTGAGAAGCTGAAAAACCTCCGAAAGCTACAAAACTTGCGTCGGAAAACACAACGGTTTGGGTCGCTAATGGTGGCCTTATAGAATAACCGTTGAGGCAATCGATGTTGCAGTACCAAAATTTGAGCTCGAGTAGAAGACTGGGAGAAAAATGAATGGTGTTGTCCCATGCTGACCTGGTTTCAATGGCAAAGTACATCTGCCTGGTCATAAGACGAGAAATCGGGCCGACCGCCAAAGCAACTGAAATGATAGTACCAGCGATTCTCACTAACTCACGGAATGAAGAGTACCCCGCTTGAATCGTAGAATCCAACAAGTCCTTAAGTTTGGAGACTTTCTTCTCTGGAATTCGGAATGACAATGAAATAGAATCGATCACGAAACCGAGCCACTGGCCAATTTCCGTTGGGGTCCAGTGCGACCTAACTAACGGGCGCATCAACTTAGTGAAACAAAAGCAGGCACTACCAAGGCCGAAAGGAAGAACTGCAAAGGTAAAATATCTAACAACGCCGGAAAAAGGCCAAGCAAAACCGAGATACTTTTGGTGATCAAGACAAATATCAACATGATGGTAGCCGGACTTAAGGTCCCATGTGAAAAACCTTCATCCAAAACCTTCGTCCAGAACTTGGGATAGCGAGCGCAAATCTTCATATTTGAATCTGGGTTTAACTAAACAATTGTCGACGTGCCTAAGATCAATAACAAGACGCAACTTCTTTCCTTCCGCGACTGTTATAGGATTTACGTAGAACGGAGGAGCGACATGTTCAACAATACAACCATTACTAAGAAGCTCGGTAATTGCTTCGGCCACAAATTCTGGATGCTGAAGCGCAGATCTATTGTTCTTTAGAAAGCACTGTGAGGGATACTCGGCAAAAGGTAACCTGTAACCACGCCTAATCATCTCAAGCACAAAATCTGAAGCATCTAATGCTTCAACCCAGAAGTTAAGCGAGGACTTCAAGCGACCTTTGACGCCATTGCTACCGCCTTTAACACTAAATTCGTCGCTACAGGAAGACAATAAATCTGAAAAATCACACTCAACTTGCTGGGCATCAGCATTATCAGTGGTCAACAAACCGCCATCTAGTCAATCACGGCGAGCGCTACTCTTTGAAGTGTCCGCAAGTTTCGTGCTTGTCAAGCTCAAATGACCCAAACCTCCACACTGAAAAAAGGGGAACACACAACAGTATGAAAATAAAATCCACAGCATAAAAATAAAAGAACAGTAGAGTAGCGTGTGGCGTTAGCAGACCCGAAGGAAGATCACTAACTGACAATAGCTATATATACGACACGCAATTAACGCATATTGCGTAACTGAAACACCTAATTGTATAACACAATAAGAATACCAAATACAGAACGAGCAGAAAACAAATATCTGCTAAACTACGTACCGCAGATATTTTGATATTCTGTTCAACCACCTTCTCATCAATGAAGCTGGTGGTCGGACACTTGAAAACATTTACGGCGGTGGCAGGTTGAAGGCAAAACTCAGGAAAAACAGCCACTCATGCAAACGTGTCATCTTTTGGAAAAAAGTTCGGATATAACGCGCACTGTCATTGGTAGAAAGAGCTTGCTCTATCAGAGTACAAAACATGGAGCTGAGCTAAAGCTGTCACGCCAATTTTTTTATGCCCGACCATTTTGCGGACTTCTCTCTAGCCTTTTTTTTTCGTGAATTGAAAGTGAATTTTCGGAACAAGCGTGCCGATAAGTAGCGATAGAAGAGCCAAAAAGGGTCTGTATAAACTTGCCAAGCGCCGTAATTGACGTAATTATAACGTAAAATCCTCAAAGAGGAAACGAAGTGAACTGTCCGACTTTGAAGGTTTTCACGTAAGCTTAGGTAAGGTAATAAATATCAAACACATCTAATACCCATATATAGTATATATAGTTTCATGTTCACAAAGTTTCTAAATTTTCGTCTTCAAAGAAGTGGGGAGAAACACTCCTCTACGTCTCGTGTACCTCCCTACACTTCTTTCCTGCTCTAGCCACTTCCTCCGTGCTTTACAACAGAATAGAGCACGGTCAAGGCTTTTCTATTTGTTAATTAGTATAGCTATCGGATAATTACAGAGATGTGTAACTTATTCACAAACACTCTTTATAGTGAATGAGGGAAAAGTGGCGGTGTACTAACGAAGGCAAAAAGTAGACACAAACGCGCGCGCACGTTTCACGCACACTCTTTGGTGCACCCAAACACAAAAGGGGTGAATGGGCTAAGAGACGCAACCGACATTCCATTCACTAGTAAATGATAACTTCGTGTTTTGACTTCTTTACCCTATGCAATAACCATGACGTCTTTACGACGATCTTCATATTCTACATTGTCAATTATATTATGGCCTTAGACAGTTGATGAGAGCGCACCCGAACCAGCTACCTTGCAAAGAAAGTGGGGGCAAATTATAAGTTACCTAGAACTGCGGGTCGTTCAAAACTTGGCAAAAGACGGGATGGAGTCTTATTTTATGTTGCTTACAATTGAACACTGTGCGGCATTCTTGAAGAACGTTAGAACATTTATACAAATAGTGCATACTTCTAAATAGGAAAATTTTATTAAAGAAAGCGCAGTTGCTCAAACAACTGTCTAAAAATTTTGCAATTCATTTCCTCTGTTGTAGAGTACCTTATGATGTTTCCGGAGCTGCGTTCTACAGAAAATTACGCCATGAAGAATCCAGCCATAACTTCAGATCTCAGCCAGTTGTCTTTGTGTTTTTTTATCAAACTTGTTCAAGACCAAGGGGATCAGATAATCGTCAGCTATGCCCGTGAACATAACAATGACATGTTTGTCGGAATTTTTCCGACACAAACACACTTTCACATCGGCAACAAGTTGGTCCGGTAATGCTGCGTATTTTTTTTTAGAAGTCAGTTGAAGAATTTCTTATTCGAGCCACAATAAGTTATTATACAGAAAATGCTTCGATCGACTTCTTCCTAACGCTTGGAGAGAGAAAGTTAAACATACAAACAAACGGAAAGAGTTAAGCTTCTTTCTCTTTTCTTATCATGAGTTAAATACCAAATTTGTTAATATTTGACCAAAACAAATCTAGACGTATTTTCCTTGCGCTCTGCAAATAACTATTAGGGTCCTTTTTTTTTTAATGTGATTTAAATCACTATGCTCAATGGGGCTCAAGAGTCGTCTTTAAAGTGACGAGGACTCCCTTTTTTACGGTTCTAGCCATAAAAGGATGGGGTTTCTTAACCGACTCGGCTTTCAAAATAGTAGCTCAGATGATACTTTGATTTAAACATTTTATAAGAGAGAAAGATCCTTTTCGTCTTGTCACGAGCGTGGGACAAAGAAAAAAATTCTGATTTCCCATGAGGAATCGAACCTTCGGATTCCGCGCACTCTGCCACAGAGACTCTTCAGCGAGTGAGGTCTCTACTATATAAGTAATTGCATGAATAAGAGATTGACTGAATGAGTGAAAACACTGAACAAATCGAAGCTTGAATGTATGAACGATTAAGTCATTGATAAACGATTGATTGACTGACTGACAGGCCACTTACATACTATAAACTGACTGACTACGGACTAATAAACTGAATAACTCTCTTGACTACCTTAGTGACAATGAAAAAGGAGGGTCTTGAATGATCAAATATATTTAATACTGTTTGCCTTCTGTTTTGTCCTTCTTTTTGTTGTTGTTGGGTTTTTTTTTGTTTTTTGTTTTTTGTTTTTTTTTGTTTATTGTTTTGGTTTTTTTTTTTTCAGTTTTACCTCGACAAATCTCTACGATGATATCTGGCAACACGTGTGCCTCACCTGGGAAAACACTCGAGGGGTAACGAAACTCTATAAAGATGGTCAATTTACAGAACAGGTAACGAATCATGCCACTAAGAATTATGTACTAAAGGCTGGTGGCTTCCTGGTGCTTGGACAAGAGCAAGACTCTATTGGCGGACACTTTGATCAAAGGCAAACCTTTCATGGCCGATTGGCAAGTGTCAACATCTGGGATAAGGTTCTGTCCGAAGGCGACATTGCCGCTCAGTACACAAATTGCAGCGTACCTCATGGTTCTGTTATTAACTGGTCTGTATTCAAAAATGTTACTCGTGGCAATGTTGCAGTTGAAGAGCCGTGAACTGCATTGGTCAGTGATCAAAACTCTCGCAGAGCCTCTTATCATAACTCGCGTGATGTAAATACCTAATATTAGTGAATGTACTATATGCATGGCATAGTACTAAAATAGATACCAAAGCAGTTAGTTAGCCAGTTATTTAGAAAATGTTTCATTCATTTGTTTATTCACCTGACTTTGTTTTTTGATAAAATGTATTAAAATAAGAGGTAAATTTTAGGTGACCGGTGTTTGCCATAAAGTTGACACAGCTCATGGCAATGTTGCAGTTGAAGAGCCGTGAACTGCATTGGTCAGTAATCAACTCTTGCAGAGCCTAAAATCATAACTCGCGTGATGTAAATTCTTAATATTTGTGAATGTACCATATGCATAGCATAGTACTCCTTTTGGCCAGTTATTTGGAAAACATTTCATTTATTTATTCACCTATTTACTCAGTTGTTTGATAAAATATATTAAAATAAGAGGTAAGTTTATAGGTTGACTGGTGTTTGCCATAAAGTTAAGACAGTTGCTTGTTTTATTGTAAGCAGCCTTGACAACATAAAACTTTTCCTCTGTTCTAATTCATTCATAACACTTGAGAGGAGATTTAGAGAGCCTTTCAAGATCTTTCAAGATCCCAAGGAAATTTCAAACATTGAGAGGCTGACAGGACGAGCGCTAATACTTTGAATGTGAAGTCTTCTAGAATGATTATCGCATATGCCCTGTCGCATGTCCCTAATAAGCCACCGTGCTCTACCGCTTTTTGCAACCTCTTAAAATACTTAGGGTGCTTCTGTAGAGTTTTCTTGGAGTCCATATTACTTGTCATCGAAAAACATCGCATGTTCGTTACAAATCTGATGTATGCTTGCAGTAGTCTAGAAAATTCCAGAATAAAAGTTACAGAATCTGGAAATTCTGCTGCTGACATCGCAATTTTAGAACTAGGGTATGTGCTATAGACGGATGGGGGTGGGGGGTGGGGGGTGGGCTATGACAAGGTTTGATGTATTAAACTGTTAGAGGGGAAGTTTAGCTGTTGGCTGGCCTTCATTTTTAATGTTGGCTGTTATGCAGACCCCCCCCCCTCCCCCCCTCCGGCCCCCCGTGGTGGAACTTGCATTACATCTCTCCTGTATTGTGTTACTTCTTGAAAACTACATTATCCAAGCCAATCAAGATGAAGAATCTTTTCATTCATGTTTTCGATGCAAATCCGTAGACTCAAGATAGAGCACTTTTCGATTGAATATCGTAAAAGCATGCCACTAAAGATTATGCACTTAAGGCCAGCGGCTTCCTGGTGCTTGGACAAGGGCAAAACTCTGTTAGATGAGATTTTGATCGTACGCAAACACTTTATAGTCGATTGGCAAGTGTCAACATGTGGGATAAAACTCTTACCGAAAGCGACATTGTCGCTCAGTACACAAATGCAGCGTACCTAATGGTTTTGTTTTTAACTGGTTTGCGTTAAAAAATGTTACTCGTGGCAATGTTGCAGTTGAAGAGCCATGAACTACATTGGTCAGTGATCAAAACTCTTACAAAGCCTAAAATCATAACTCGCGTGATGTAAATTCCTAATATTAGTGAATGTACCATATGCATGGCACAGCACTAAAATAGATACAAAAATATGACACGATATTTCGTTCAAACGCTGCTTTTGACCAGTTGTTTAAAAACATTTCGTCTATTTATTTACCTACTTACTCAGTAAAATGCTTGCAGTAGTCTGGAATATTCCAAAGTAAAATTTATGCTGCTGACATGGTAATTTTAGAATTAGGGAATGTACTACAAATGGAGGCGAGGGGGAAGGGGCTATATCAAGGTTTGATGTATAAATTGAAAGTTTAACTGTTGGCTGGTCTAAATGTTTGATGTCAGCTGTCATGTTGGAGCACTTTTTTCGATTGAGATTTTAGGGCTTCCTAAATAACAAAAACCCACCAAGTGCTGTCTTCAAACAATAAGGCTAGATAAGTACAATAAAAAAAGAACTTTAATAAACAGACGCTCCATTATTTTCTGAAACTTTCCGTGACAGCAGAATTAAAACGAGCTGAACTGGAGCTCTACTGGTCCATTATTTTTCTCCTGAATTTACAAATCAAAAACTAGAGCGCTAATTGAATTAACAGCAACTAGAAAGAAAAATAAAGAAACCCTGGGGCGCTAGAAAACATTTCCACAGGAAGACAAACAGGAGCAAATCAGGAGGCCAAACGTTTGAAAAAGAAAACAAATTAATAACTGATGACAAGATATCGTGTCATTAACCGAAGCAGATGTTTGCAAAGCCCATGTAAAAAGCTTAGTGTTGCGTATCTGTAGCATTACGAAATCGTGTCTCACCATGAAAAGCTTTTTTCTTTGAGCTACAAGAATAAGATGGCTTCTTTCTATTTATCTGTCAACTTTCTTGCTCTGGTTGTATCGGCGAGTTCTGTGAAGACTTCAAAAGGTGTGGTCTTTCTTCCTTTTTGCTTTATTTTCTTGATATCTACATCGTCTTTTTGAGAAAGAGTAAGGCGAAACCATTTTAATTCGTCATATTCATTTCTTTATCAAACACAGGACAAACACCAAACGTAGGGTTTGTCTTCACCTATTTTCTCGCTCACGAAGGCTACTATTTAAACGTCACAACTGTTGGTACAGAACTGGTCCAAGACTCCTTTGAGTGCGCGTTCAAGTGTCTCCAGAAGGATCCTTGTTTGTCCTTCAACCTGGCAGATTTGGATGATAACATTGACAATCTGCTATGTGAACTGCTTCCATCTGACCATTACACCCATTCAGACAAGTTCATCACCAACCATCTTTGGTATCACCACAGTATTGCGGTAAAATTCTTCTTCTTTTTCTACTTCAACTTATTATCACGTTTTATTATTATCATTATTATTATTATTAACTAAATTCGGTTGCCATCGTTCGAGCGAATTTTATTCAACTTTTCAACTTTAATGTATCTCTCTATGGCTTTATCTTTACTTTTGTTATTCCTCGCAAGCCATTTTTAAGTCGTTTTATCGATCCGTCATCGTAATTTGTTTAACTGGATTTTATTAAGGGAGTAAGTGATTGATTTTCTCGGTTTTAGTCTCCTTGCTCGAAGTTGCCTTGTCAAAACAATGGAACTTGTGTACCCCTGTACAGGACAAACAGCTACAAGTGTCGCTGTACGAAAGCATACACAGGAAGCCACTGCGAAAAAGGTAAAGTTCTGTTTTCTAAAATAATAATTCCAAATGTTTTTCGCGCGCGTGCTTGTCGTATCTGATTCCCACTGAGCCATCATCCGTCGTCATTTCACTTCACACTGACTTGTTTTTGTAAGCAGAAGTTTTCCCATTTTAATTCATTTTCTCTATTCTTTTTACATCAGTTGATAATGACTGCAGCTGTTCATCAGGACCAGAAGGAAAACAGAGATGCAAAATAGGTCAGTTAGTACTCCACCTTGAATTAAGATATGACAATATGTTTTTACATGGGAAATCCCGTCTCATAGTTTTTTGTGTTGATCTCGTAAAATCTTCCATAGACTTTTTTCTCGACTTAAGAAGCTTGTTTTTTGAGCTGGACCTCGTTGTTGTTCAGCCGTTTAAAAATCATGACTCCGTTGAATTAACGCTTTACAGTACAAGCAAGCTCCAAATCAAGTTTTACTTAATATATCACAATAATCTTACATCTCACAAATTTTCAATGGGTTCGGAGCTATTGTGTTAAATTTAAACCAGTTACTCGTATCGACAAGAAACCACAAACTAGCCAATTAAGAGTACTTTTTCATCATTACATCACTCGTTCACTAATTTACACAGTTTTGTTCTGTTTTGTTTCGGAAATGGTTCTATAAAATTTGTCCCAATTTTGCTTTCTTGAAATGCAGAAGTGTACATTACGTCAGAATCAAGAATGACTTTTTGACATCGAGAGCCGAGAAAGAAAGCCGACTGTGTTTGTAGCACAATAAACCCACGAGGGTCGTTTAAGTTTTCTTCGTTTTGTCTGCCCTCTGCCGCCGATTTTTGCGACTCCACTGCCGGCATTTTCTGTTTGTCCGCTCGGGTAGCCGATTCGAACTCAGGATTCACTTCATATTGTTCACAAACGCTGCTAGCGATGTAACGCATGATTTCATGCATTGTATTTTACTGTTGCGCGCCTAGTGCGAATTAATAGAAGGAACAGTTTGTTATTATCCTGCTCTGGCAAAATAGCTATTATCTTGGAGGTGAAAATTCAGTTTGACGGCATGGTTTCAAAAAGTTTTACAATAGCTAAGAACCCGTTGAAAATTCGTCAAATGAAAGGTTATTGCGAAAAATTCAATAAAAACTTGATTTAAAGCTCGGTATATGAATAATTTCGCCTAGAATCTGAGAAATTAAGAGAAATTTTGAAAGAGCTTGATTTAATTTGTTGATATTTTCTCAAATGCAAGGATATGGCCCAAAAAGCATTTTCCCTAGGTTAAGGAAAAAATCTATCGAAGAATCTAAGAGATCAACTCAAAAATCTCTCAAAAGGTATTTCCCCATAACATACGCATAACAATAGTGACTGCCATGACACCCGGCCGCTACTTCAAACTTTAAACCGTTGGCAAACACATGTGTAAAATTCGTTGGACTGCGAAGAGGGAAATTATTTTTTTGAGCGCTATTAATGGAGTCGGTAGGTGTCTAGGAAAACCGTAGACCTTCCACTCGGATGAAACTGAATTTGCCTATGCTGGCAGAGCCAGCACAGCGGTCAGCAGAAATTTTTTTGGGATCACTTTCTGAAGGAGCTTAGACACCAGGCTTAATTAGGTAACCAAGCCTTCTGATGATTTGTTAACAATTCTATACTCACCTCCCCCGACTGGTTGAAGTGCGATTGGATGGGGACAGGGAAGGGAACATTTTTGTTACTTGCGCGAGAAAAAACAAATGGGAAGTTATCTATAAACCCTTTTTTTTTTTTTAATTTTCGCGTGAAAGAATATTACCTTATCTCGCTGCGCTCCGTTCAAATACGAATCTTCTGCCTTTGGCTAAAATACGCTTTCTTCGTGAATTCTAAACTCTACTCACGGTCAAATGGAACCGAAGGGAATTTCAAACCTAGAAAATACTTGCTTCTGAATAGTGTCTTAGCTCTGCTCTCGGTGACGTTTTTCCGAAGGACTCGCTAGATTGCAGAACAATCGCAAGAAGTGCACCTCGTCGAGTACAGGTCTTGAAAATGTATTCAATGTTAAAAGAAATCCTAGTAGGCAAACAAAATTAACCTTTCGGTGAACTACGTAATTGAACCAAGTACTTTTTTTAACGGACCACAAAATTCGTCGTAAGTGTAGTAATCCGTTTATTTATTCTTGACATTAAGCTTATTTCGACTTAATAAAGCAGTCGGTATCAATCATATGAAAATACGTATTTGACAACTTGATAATCTTGTTAGAACGTCATAGGAAGTTGTACCTTCAAAGAAGCTACGTGTAAAATCTGTAAGGCCTTTTCACTGTTTATAGCGGTAAATTTATATTCACCGTGGAAGCTTTGCACGTCTTACTTATTTGCTTGATTATTTTTTGACGCTGTTGTGTTGAGTATCCATCTGAAGTGTGCGTGACTGAGTGCTCAGGGTGCAAAGAGTGAAAACGGTACGCAAACCCAATAATTTCGACCCCTCCACCCCTCCCTGCTCCACCCTCTACAAAAATGAGTAGTTTCTGGACCATATTGACTTGAAATTTTACACTTGGTAATTCCTAAATTGACTGATGCCTCACACAAGAGTAAAATTATTTTCATATCATATCTGTGCACCACTGAGGCCTTCCATTAATAAAAAGGCTATTCTGATATGTTCCAATAATGGCTCTGGGTCAGATGCGTTTGCAACAAAGGATGGAAAAAATGAATTATTATTATTATTAACATTATTATCATTATTATTATTGTGTTACATACTCTTAACCAAATTTGAATCTTTACCACTCCCCTCCCCCAAAGCAGCTACATGTAAACAATATAGGGCCTTTTTTAAAGTCCTCACAGTTTAATGCCTCAAGGCTTGCTGGTTTGGCAGTCAGTGGAAAAGTAATGAAAGAAATACATTCAGTTGGATTTAAATGATTATAATTAAGATTTAAATATCAATTCCAACTGAGCAATGACTCACGATACAGAAAACAAGACATTGATTGCATTATATTAGGTGGCTTGATCCAAATGAGCCAAGAAAGCTTCTTTTTTTGTTTTGTTTTGTACCTAATCATAAAAAAGCCCCATATTCTGTAGTAGTAAGTCATGGAGTGAAATTCAGTACTTTAACTATACTCAATAGACCTTACTGCAGTTTTCAACACCACCTTGATGGGTTGGTGGGCAGGCTTGACCTTGCAGTATTTGTATAAGAATTCAATGTCAAATAATTTTGATTTAATTTTTAAATTCTGTTATGAAAAAACTTCAGAAATATGGCAAACGTAAGCAACAGTTGTAAACGTTACAGGAAAAGGATTCTTCTGTAAAAGAATTTTCTTCTTGCAGACTAAAATTTCCTGAAAAAAAATAAGACAATGCAAGGAAAATCTATTACAAACAACAGGGCAAATTAAAGGACAGGTACAGCCATAGCGACTATGAAGTAAGCATCCCTACCACTCCCAAAATGCATTATCAGTTGACTCAGATGTCCAGGCAGTCCAGGCAGTCCAGGGAACAATTTAAACATTGACTCAGTTTTGTGTAATCAGATTAATTGTTGCTAAGTGCATTATTTCATGACAACGTACTTCAACAAGTTAGGTATGCATATAGTATATACCACAAAAGCAAACTATTTCTGGTGTTATCGCTAATTGAGATATCAGATCAAGAAAGTATAAGGTTATTAATAAAGGGTTAAATTTTAGCTGTAAGCTTTTCGAGTTATTGATTTGACAATTTACTGTACGTTGTAAAATTACAAAAGGAAACACTAAATTTAGGTTGTAAAACACTAAAAAACTTACTTACTTACCCTTCAGTCTCAAAAAGTTTTCCTCTTTACTGCTTTAAAAATTTGAGCTTCTGTTTACTACTCGCCGAAGTTCCTTGTATTCTCTGGTGTGACAAAAAGGTCACGCAAGCAAGAAAAGGCTTGGGCACAAATTCAGTAGGCTTGGCTACTGAGTTGAGCCTGGTTTCCAAGCTCCTTCAGAAAGTGATCCCAAAAAAAAATTCTGCCAGCGGTCATAAGCCGTGCATGCACAAGCTTAAGGGATCAGTTTTTGCCGGGTGCGTGCCAATTTCCCACGCAATGGCCAAAAGTACGGAGGCCGGTAAGAAAAAAACAGAGTCACAAAACCTACAACACAAACACAAAACTCTTCAATACAAACATAAACTTAAAACAGAATCACAAAATCCGCAACACTAACACAAAACTCTGCAATACAAACACAAACTTTAAACAGAATCACAAAATCCGCAACACTAACACAAAACTCTGCCACACAAACACAAACTTAAGTTTGTGTTAGTGTTGCAGATTTTGTGATTCTGTTTTAAGTTTGTGTTTGTGTTTGTGTTGTAGGTTTTGTTACTCTGTTTTGTTCTTACCGGCCACCGTACAAAAGGTATACATAACAAACAATCGCTGATACGCAAAATATGCGAAAAAGCTTAGTGAAACTGTTATAGAAATCTGTAGAAAGATACAAAAGTAGGGAAGAGGGAAACTCAAGACTTTTTCGAACATAATACTTATTTAATCATGGAAAAGGGAGGAAATTTCTTAAGAGACTGTGGCGCTGCGTCTCTGGGAGAGTACAACAAGGAAATTTGGTATTATCAACTGAGTTGATAACGTAAACTGGCCGACCAAAAAGACTTTCAAAACTGACGTTTGGAGCGTTGGCCCTTCGTCAGAAGGAAGGGCTAAACTCTTAACAGTCGCCAATTTCCCTTATCAACTCAGTTGATAATACCAAATTACCTTACTTAATCATGTGTTTCCTGTTAATTCACTGTTATGATTTGACGTTATACACCTAAACTTACAATTCTGTGCGGCGATTTAAAGCTTCTGCCAGACAAATTGGTTCTGACAACCTGAGAGCGCGCTACCCGAGGAATACGCCGGCGCGCACACACAAACGCAAACACAAAAGAGGTGAATAGGCTAAGAGATGCGTCTGACATTCTACTTACTAGTGAGTGATAACTTCGTGGTTTGCCCTCTTTACTCTACGCAATGACTATGACATCTATACGACGATTCTTCATATTCTACTTTGTTAATAATTACATCATGGCCTTAGATAGTTGATAAGGACGCACTATTGTTAGAAGTAAATTCTCTAACACTCGTTGTTGGTTTGGTTGATTCTTCTTTAATCTCTTTTCTTCTCAAGTTGTTACAACGGGGACTAACTCCTATCTTATTAGAAAAGCGAGGGTCACCGTTTGTAAAGTGACACTAACGATGACACTACTAAGCGCTAAGCTGTCAATCTTCTTGTATCGTCATCGTTCCATCTCAGTCAGCGAATCACGTTAGATTACGTATGACAGTTTCTGCTTACTAGGTATGCGCCTTCGAGTTATTTGCGCAGTTACAAAATCATCTTCTACTTTAAATTTCTTATTCTTACAGTTGAGATCGGCCAGAACAGAAACGAGATTGGTAATATAAAAATCACAACTATCCTATTAACGGAATACTATTCACATCTAAACCGGTATCTTAAGAGAAAATTGCCTTAGAAGACCATTACATAACAACATCATAATTACGAAAGTTGGAGAAGAAGGGGCGTTCACAAGTACCGCCCCCAAGTTGCTACGTGCTAGTCATAATAACTTTCTAATTGCAAAACATGAAGGTATCACACGTTTACACCTTTAAGAACGAGAGGTGTCGAATGTGACCTTTTACCAGAGAGATTCACTCTTCCTGGACTAACAAATTAACTTAATCAATAACATAGCTTTCCCAAGACATTATCACGAGTTCTTATTACCGTAGAAACTGAGCAACTGTTTTCATGTCAACTTCATTATCATAACGAGGAAAGCGTGATCAAACTCTACCTTTAAGATAAGGCTTCCAAAAGGAATAAGAAGTAATCAACCTACCTATTTATAATCCCCTGCAGGAATGGTTTAAAGTAATATAATATTTTCATTCCTTTTCCCGACACCAATATAAGGAAACCCTTACGATATTTCAGATTAAATATAGTCCCATTTTTATCGTTTAACACTATGAACCTACTCCACTGAAGATGGAAAATTAATTAAAGAAAGTGAAATTGCTCAAACAAGTGTCTAAAACTTCTGCAATTTATTTCCTCTCTTATAGAGTACCTTATGGTGTTTCCGGAGCTTCGTTCTACCGAAAATTACGCCATGAAGAATCCAGCCATAGCTTCAGATCTCGGCCAGTTTTCGCTGTGTTTTTTCATCAAACTTGTTCAAGACCAAGGGGATCACATGGTCGTCACCTATGCCCGTGATCAACACAGTGACGTGGGTGTCGAAATTTATCCAACAGAAGCAAATGTTTATGTTGGCAGCAAGTGGTTCCGGTAAGGCTGCATATAATTTTTAAAAGTCGGTCGGGGAATTTCTTATTTGAGCCACGATAAGTCATGATACACGAAATGTTACGGTCGGTTTCTCCCTCCTAAACAATTTATGTCTAGCAATTTAAGGGGGGGAGAAAGTTAAACATACAAATAAACGAAAAGTTTCTTTCTCTGTGCTTATCATGATTTAAATACCAAATATGTTAATCTTTTAAACCAAAACAAATCTAGACGTATTTTCCTTACGCTTTCCAAATAACTATTCGGGAACTTCAATTAAAATGTGATTTAGATCATTACGCTCAATTGGGCACAAAAGTCTTTCAGATGACGAGGACTCGCTTATGTAGCAGGGATGAAATTAGCTCATTAAAAATTTTTATAAGTAGAGAAATAATTTTTTTCGCCTTGGCACGAAACGTGGGACAAAGAAAAAAATTCTGAGTTCCCATGAGGAAACAAACCACAAGCAGACCTTCGCATTCCGCGCTCCGATGCTCTACCACTGTGCCACAGTGACTCTAAGTAATTGCACGAATAAGAGATTGATTGACTGACTGACAGTTTATTGACTGGTTTACTGACTGACTACAGACTGACAGACAGAATGACTTTCTTGACTGACCTAGTGACAAAGAAAAAGGAGGGTCTTGAATGATCTAATATATTTAGTAATGTTTGCTTTTTGTATTGTTTTGTTTCAGGTTTACCTCGACATATCTATACGATGATACCTGGCAACACCTGTGTCTCACCTGGGAAAACACTCAAGGAGTAACGAAACTCTACAAAGATGGTCAATTTGCAGAACAGGTAACGAATGATGCCACTAAGAATTATGTACTAAAGGCTGGTGGCTTCCTGGTGCTTGGACAAGAGCAAGACTCTTTTGGCGGAGGTTTTGATGTTAAACAAACTCTTCATGGCCAATTGGCAAGTCTCAACATGTGGGATAAAGTTCTTTCCGAAAGCGACATTGCCGCTCAGTACACAAATTGCAGCGTACCTCGTGGTTCTGTTCTTAACTGGTCTGTATTCAAAAATCTTACTCATGGCAATGTCACAGTTGAGGAGCCGTGAACTAAATTGTTTAGTGATCAAACACTCTAGACTCGTAACTCACTTCATGCAAAATTCCTAAAGGTTAGTTGTTAGTGTATTTACTATAGGCATGACTGAATCACGTGGTATAAGATAACGAAAGTTAAAAGAACATGGTGGAACTTAAGCAAAGAAAACTCAATGAACAGAGATGTATGTTCCTGATTCAGGCCTAGATCTAGAATATGTGATCTTCACTAAAATTATTTGGTTCTGTTGTTAACTGGTCTGCATTCAAAAGTCTTGCTCATGGCAATGTCACAGTTGAATAGCCATAAACTGCATTGGTCGGTGATCAAAACTCTTGCAGAGCTTAAAATTATAACTCGCATGATGTAAATTCCTAATATTAGTGAATGTACCATATGCATGGCATAGTCCTAAAATAGATACCAAAATATGAAATGATATTTCGAAACGCTGAAACGCTGCTTTTGGCCGGTTATTTGGAAAACATAAAAAATTAAAAAATAACACTTGCACATAACACATAACACTTGCCATCGAAAAACATCGCATGTCCTTTAAGGGCCCCGTAGAAGAAAGATATAAGTAGGTTCTATAAGAATCTGATGTATGCTTGCAGGGGTCTAGAAAATTCCAGATTAAGATTTGCAGAATCTGGAAAATTTGCTGTTGACATCATAATTTTAGAACTAGGGTGTGTGCTTTTAATGGAGTGGGAAGGAGGGCTTTGACAAGGTTTGATGTATTAAACTGTTACAGCGAAAGTTTAACTATTGGCTGGCCCAAATGTTTGATGTTAGCTGTTATGTTGGAGCACTTTTCGATTGAGCATTGTAAAGCTTTCATAAGGAAAGACCAAAAGTGCCAAAAGAGTTCAGAGTAAAATCAGGCTAAGGGCTTCCGAAATAACAAATTGCAGCGTACCTAATGGCTCTGTTCTTAACTGATCCGTATTCAAAAATCTTACTCTTGGCAATGTCACAGTTGAAGAGCCGTGAACTAAATTGTTTAGTGATCAAACACTCAAGACTCATAACTCACGTCATGTAAAATTCCTTATGTTAGTGTATTTACTATAGGCATGACTGAATCACGTGGTATAAGTACGAGATAGATAACGATACTTAAACTGAGAGCACGATAAAATTGAGCTAAGAAAACTCAAGGGACAGAGATGTATGTTCCTAACCCAGGCCTAGATCTAGAATATGTGATCTCCACTAAAAGTATTTGTAGTTAGTCCATCTCACGAACAGGTCGGTATGGGGGCTAACATCGATCGTATGCACATAGATAGGAAAGGAACTGGTATTTTACACGAAGTACTATTTAAGTGTTTTACTTTCCAATTTTGAAGCCACTGTTGTTTACAGCGTAAGTGGAACGTTCTGGGACAGTTTCAATTTAGACAGTTTGAAATATTGAAAACATGAAAAAGGATAAACGGTAACAGTTTTTCTTTTTCAAACAACTCTTGTTCACTGCTTATTTTATTTAAAGCATTAAAACATCTGTAAACGTTTATGAATTTCTTTCCGCTCTTTTTTTAAATTTAATTCACGGACGCTACTTTATGCAGATAATGAAAGAGAAAGGAAAAGAGGTATAAGGATAAAACTCGACAAAGAATCAAGACAAGAAAAGAGAAGGATTACTATGCAAATTGCAGTCAAACCTGTATTAAGCAGCTACGCACGAGGAATGGTGGGGTGACCGCTAAATAAAGGAAGAAAGAAACTGGCATACAGTGCGCAGCTGAGTGTGTCACTGATTTTCTTACCAAATTTTAATGTGCTTCGTGATCAGTTACTAGAAAGAGCCACGGCAACATAGATTCCATTTATTTTCTACAGTAAAGACGTAAAACATCATTAAAAGAAACGTCATCTATACTTCTGTCTCTAATAGACCTTAAGAACTAATCAAAACTCGTGTATACAATTCAGCTTATCATGTAAATCTCCACATCCGCACAGCCGTGCTTCCATAATATGACACGTGCAATTGCATTTTGAGGCAGTCTTATTACTCTTCAGCCGCGCGTTCATCTCGCTAAACTTTCCCACAGCTAATTGAAGGTGGAAGCGAGAAATTGTTACCAGCACACCTATGTCTTCTTCTGCCGGTATTACTGTCCGTCAAAATGACAGTGTAGTGGTCGCTCAATAGTAATGAACCTTGTTTGGAGCACAATTGCTCATTTATTCCGCTTGTATATTTTCTTCACAAATTCTAGAAATAATCCTTCAGGCAGGTTGCCAGATTTCTGTGATATAAGTTCTAAAATGTTCATGTAACTTTCCTCTTCGTAGTCCTTAAATACCTGCTTCAAGTTGAGCTCATGGTATAATTTTTTCACCTTGGATGAATCTTTTTTACTTTTATCCTCCTGAAAAAAAGTAAACAAAATACATTCCAGTTTCTCAATATGAATGCTTGTCGTGTTCAACAAAAATCTCTGGGAGAGAAGATAGACTTTTATTCTAATTGGAATAATGTACATGAAACATTTACACTGATTGGCTGAAAACGAGTCCATTTTTCAAATAACATGGGTGCAAAGTTGTAACATGAGTGCAAATTAGAAATAGCGCGCGCTGTCAAAATTTCGTCTGTTTTGACTTTTTGTGATACTTTTTTCAAGTAATTTATTAATAAGAAATAAAATCATTTCTCGTGCAATTTGATGTAAATAGGCACGATTTTTTGTCTTTGAAAAATTCAATGCTGCTTATCACCAACGACTGAAATTGCACTCCAAATCATGTTATTACCAATACTAATAAATCTTAGCTTATCCCGCAAGTCATTACATGAGCTGAAAATTAATAAAATTTCAACCTCCTTGGATGATTAATTCTCCTCAAAAAGTGACCAAAATAGAACAGGTTTACCGGTAAATGCCTGTTTCTTATTTCGAGTGTCAAACGTGTAGAATAAAAATATCTTGGAAGGAAGGCAGGGAATACGGGTGGGGTTTTAATAAATTTAAGCTCATCCTGCCAGTTATAACATAATATGAAGATTAAAAAAAAATAGAAAACGACCTGCACAACTTCTCGGATAACCTGTTAAAAACCGGTTGTTCTCGGAAAACCGGTCAAAATATATTTTCAAAGCTTTCTCTTAAAACAATAGCTTAAAAAAATAGATTTAAAAACTCACCTTGTAGCTCAACTATCCAACATATCATCTCGAAACTTCCTCATTCAGTGCATGGCTTCATAGGGTGCCATGAGTGACGAGAAAACCTTTTGTTACGTTATTTTTCTCATGAATTTCCATGTCAAAAAAAAAAACACTCTAAAATAATAGAGCCTAGAAAGAAAAATAAAGAAACCTAGGGAAGCGAGAAAACATTTACAGAGAAAGACAAACAGGAGCAAATCAGGAGGCAAAATGCCTAAAAAAGGAAACCAAATTAATAATTGATAACAAGATATCGTGTCAGTAAAAGAAGCAGATGTTTACAAAGCCCATGTAAAAGCTTAATGTTGCATGTCTGAGGCATTGCGAAATCGTGTATCACCATGAAAATCATTTCTCTTTGAGCTACGAGAATAAGATGGCATTTTTCTATTTATCTGCCTGTCTTCTTGCTCTGGTTGTATCGGCGAGCTCTGTGAAGACTTCAAAAGGTATCACCTTTTTTTCCCGTTGCAGTGATACTCGCGTTCCTTTCTGTTTTATTTCCTGATATCTACATCATGTTTTAAAGAAAATATAAGCCAAAACAATTTTAATTGGTCATCTTCATTTCTTTATCAAACACAGGACATACGCCAAACGTTGGGTTTGTCTTTACCAATTTTCTTGCTCACAAAGGTTACTATTTGAACATCACAACTGTTGGTACAGAACTGGTCCAAGACTCCTTTGAGTGCGCGTTCAAGTGTCTCCAGAAGGATCCATGTTTGTCCTTCAACCTGGCAGAATTGGATGATAACATTGACAATCTGCTATTTGAACTGCTTCCATTTGACCATTACACCCATTCAGACAAGTTCATCACCAACCATCTTTGGTATCACCACAGTATTGTGGTAAAATTCTTCTTCTTTTCCTACTTTATCTTTATCATCATTTTTTATTATTATTATTATTATTTTATCCTGATAATAACTAAAATCGGTTGCAATCGTTTGAGCAAATCTTATTCAACTTTTCAACGTTAATATATCTCTTTATGACTTTATCTCCTTTTTTTTCATTCCTTGCAAGCCATTTTTAGGTCGTTTATCGATCCGTCATCGAAGTTTGTTTAACTGGTTTTTATAAAGGAAGTATTGATTTTCTCGGTTTTAGTCTCCTTGCTCGAAGTTGCCCTGTCAAAATGATGGAACTTGTGTACCTCTGTACCGGACAAACAGCTATAAGTGTCGCTGTGCGAAAGCATACACAGGAAGCCACTGCGAAAAAGGT